CCCCCCCCCCCCCCCCCCCCCCAATCCATGTTTGGAATTCAGCAGTATAAAATTAGTACTCGAACACTTACACCACTTTCTGTGTCGCTCCCATACGGTTCTGTTGAAGGCCTTCTCGGTACTGGCGTCCAGCCGTTGTACTCATATTCATCTCCTGGTTGCTGCGAACGTGAAGAAGGTACTGGAGGAGCAGGCCCATCCGACGGCCCTTGGTCATAGGGAGACCCTTCTCCGGGAGTAGCCCCATTCACTGTGGGAACATTTGAACTATTTGGGAGTACTGGTTTCCAGCCGCTGTACTCATGTTCGGAACCTCCTGGTTGTTGTGATCTTGAAAGAGGTACTGGCGGAGCAGCTCCACCCGGAGGCCCTTGATCATAAGGAGATCCTCCCGCAGAAGCAGCTCCTGTGGGAGATTTCGGATTGTTTTGGGATGGTTTGTTGCCACCCGAAGGCTCTCCGTCATACGGCGATTCTCCGGGAGCATTGTCATCATAAGTTGTGGGAACTACCAAGTTGTTCTTAGCGATCTCGTCACCACCCGGAGACCCAGTGTTGTAAGGAGATGCACTGGGTGCCTCCATTACTTTCGTGAGGAAAGGCTTAGCAAGTTTTGCATCGGGATCACCCTGGAACTTAGTTTGAGCGGTACCTTCCATCATACCTTCTTGATAAGGGTCTGGGTTTTCGATATTGGTTACAGGGACCTCTATCTCGTTTGTGTTGGATGAGCCCGAATGAGGAGGAGTCGGACCCGGTTGCTGTGCTGATAAACCTGGAAAAAGAGGAATTAGGAGAGATCAAAATTTGGAAAAAGCACAGTGCCAGGAAAGGTGTTTCACTCGAGTATTTTGAGGACTGGAAGTATTTTCCTACGGCCCAGAAGCAAATTAATTCCCACTGCAGAGCTTCCCATTGAATTTGGTTGGGTGATTTGATTTATGTGTGCGAAAATTAGCAAAAATGCTGTTAAAGCTGGAAAGCTGCAGCGCAAATGCCGTGCAAATGCATTCCACAGACCCCGCCCACAACAATAACCACGCCCACTGACTTGTGTTCACCAGTCAGTAAGACGGAAACGCGATTTCAACTGCTAGCGGTAGTTAGGAGATTAAAATAGGATAGCGTTATGGAAGAAAGCCCACAAAGCTAAAGTGGGGTTGGCTGTCCTACCTTTCCCTTTCTTTCAATTATCCCACACGCCCTCGTTAATCGATCGCAATAAAAAGTAACATCGGTTTATGGACTTCCACCGCCCATTTAGCTATCTTCATTGCTAATATTCTGAGCGTCAACTATCTCCATTTCCGGGCTAATTTACCAGCCTTCTCTACCGTAATTACTTTTTCAAAGTGGTTCCAAGTTGAGTTTGTTGAATAGAGGCGAATTGTTCCTCACCTGGTGGCGTTCCAGTTGGCGGCACGGGCCCAGACCCAGCCGGGTTGGGATCCTTTTCATAGTAGAATTGATAATCGTCCATACCAGGTGTATCGGGCATCATTGACTGGTATGGGTTCATAATCGCTATGGGTATATTCGTATTCATTTCTTCTGGTGGGTAGTAGGCCGGAGCCATAGGATATTTGGCACCGGTTATTACAGCCGGAAGTAGAAGCAAGAGAAATAACCTCATGCCTGAAAGGTTCATAGATTACTTCATGGTCAAGGAAAAGAGAAAATTCGAGAGAACACAATGTGGAAAATCTCGAACACGGCGATTGTCTTATTTGAAGAGCGACGGAAGCAAGTGAATGGAAGAAGCGGATGCGACCCCAATGTTCTTCCAGGCATTATCATAGTGAAAGTGACGGGTGATGAGATTCGAAGAAAGCGCGATATATCGGAAAAACCCACCACTCCACTCCACCCTGCCACAGTCAACGCAGAAAACCTATGGGAAAATTTCGTTCTATTCGCTGAGTGGGCCCTTCAAAGTACCTATTTCAGTGGAACCCACTGATTGGCTGCCATTTGTGAGTTTCTAGTCAAAAGTAGGCATTCTCGTTTTCACTCTGAGGTCCTTCCCCACTTTCACCTTGAATGGACGCTGAGATCCCCTCTCTTCACCTTGAATGGACTCTGAGGTCCCCCCTTTTACCTTGAATGGGTCATAAATTAGGGTTAGGTTTTTGATTTAATACTATTTTGCCTTATAATGATATCCCTGCGAACCCATGCTTGCTCTGGCCAAGAGACGGTAATCAAACAGAAAACCTTTCGCTTTCGAAAGTGGTATAGAATCAATATACAAATATACGATTATTGTTTTTTACGCATGTTTTATGGGTATGATATTCAGAAATATACATTACATTTTCAAGAGGAGTTTGTTTACATATTGTACTATCATGAATAAGGGGCAGAGATGTTCCAGTGGCAAACGGCGAACTATCACACAAGCAGGGTCACGGTTTCGAATCCCAAATCGCTATCCACCCAGGCCAGCAAAGCCTTTCATTCTTTCGGTGTTGGTAAGTGATAGTTAAATTGAATGAAAATATCGCCTTCACATCGCCTGTCCCCCACAAATCATTGTGTAAGCTTCATACACATTCAAATGTCTCTACCAATCTGAAGGTTAACCTAATGTAATGAAGTTTCTTCGAGGGCGGGGGTGATGTAGTGGCAAGTGGCGCACAATATCACACGCACGATTAGGGGTTCGAATCCCGGATCGATGCCCGCCTAGGCCAACCAAGCCTTCCATCCCTCCGGGGTCGGTGAATTGGTACCAGATACGTCTGGGAGGATGAAAGCGCTAACTTGTACATCGGCTGGCCACCGCAAGTCATTGTATAGGCCACATACGCACTCATTACGCCACTACGATTCTGAATGGAAGTCGAATGCGTGGGCGCATCCCTCAGACGGGATTGATGAACGCCAAAAACTATATCCTTTCATTTTATTGAAGTTTTCATAAAGGGATTTGACAAAGTCAAAAAAGGGCATATCATTCAGAATTGATGATACAAATTAATCTATGTGAATAAATGAACGCAAAATAAATGCTAAGCAACGAGCATATGATTTCAAAGGAAACATTCCCGACAGGACGACACGAAAATTCCGACACAATTGAATTCTGAGGAGAAGTCTAACTGTCTTTGAAGAGTGTTTACGAATATGAAAAGAAGACAAGGCTATAATCTACAATAAGCGCAAAAGATCAAAGCTGCGCTTAGCTAATGAAAGTAAACAATCAATCACTCAAATACAATTTTTTTCGACACGGAAACTTAGTGAAACCTGCTCTTACTTACATCTCAGTATACCTTGTTAGGAAGTCCGTTCGAGGTGCGACTGGCCTCAAATTCTAGGTGGAACTATCAGTGGAAATCCCAACCGGAATGGCAGCTCCAGCCTGACATTTTTGAGTTCTAGTGGAGGAGGAGAAGAAGGTAGAGAGTGAGTTCTCAGAAATTTTGATCATTATGACTTTTTCTGACTATCCGTCTAGTACTAGACAGGCTTTCCCTAGGCTGCAAATGTTATGAGAACCCAGGAAAGATGGTAAGAACTGAACTAGCATAAATCAAGTGAATGTCAGGTAAAGTTGATGGATTCCCCTGGGTGAGGACCAGAAAGTATGGATATCTGACTTCGTTATCATTCCAGGGATTTCCGCAAAAACTTGAAGCGGTCATGGAAAAAAACCGTCTAAACAGGTCATAATGACGATAGCGTGACAAAGAAACGTTGATTGCAATGTTGCCCAGAGAAGTGCGTCGTCGGGGGGTGAGCGCTGAAGCGAGCGAGAGAGGGGATAGCCGATCCGGAATCTGAAAAGGCGAAAGTGACAAGACGCCTAGTAAGCAACATTGATAACAATTCTGATCGCTAAGCGGCCACCCAGTGGGGGTCTGACAGTTCGAACGAGAGAAGCTATGGGGTGAAAGCGGGAACAACGTTCTTGGGATATGGTACCATTACTGTTTTCTGTACTCGCACGGTCTCAACGTTCTGGTTTAAGTGTAAATTCGAGAATCTTCCAGGGAAAAATGAACAAAATGAAATAAAAACAAGCAATAACACCTGGACATTTGTGGAAATGCCTGGAATTTCAAAGAACATCAATTTGTTGAGCTCCTCAGAAGAGAGTACGTCACTTTCTTCTGTCGTATGTTGAGCTGTGACTGCTCAGGGCTTTGTGTATATTTTTATGATAAATCATAAAAGCGACCAGCAACTTGTTTTTTCAAAGATAGAGAATAGTTCTGAATAATGAAGGATAAAATTTTTGGCGTCAGTCACCGTTTTGGGATGCGCCTCGCATTCGACTTCCATTCAGAATTGTAGTGGCATTTTTAATATAGTGGGTATGTGACCCATACAATGAATTGCGGTGGCCAACCGATGTAAAAGTCAGTGTTTATATTTTTCCGGAGAGTCTGCTACCAATGAACCGACAACAGAATGATGGAAGGCCTGGTCCGCCTAAGCGAGCATCAATCTGGAATTCGATCCTAGGACCATGCGTAGGTGACAGTGCGCCACTTGCCACTACACTAGCTTCGCCCATAATAGTATAATGGATGATAGTAGAAATCAAGGATGAATCAAGAAATCTAAGAAAAAGAAGGTGAAGCCGTTTTTCAAAGAAACAAGCTAGGCTAAGTACGGTAGACTACTATACTAACCATTATCGATACGGCTATGGAACAGTCATTATAATTCGACGCAGAAAGAACTATAGCCAGTGGATACGGGAGGAATCGAGAAAGGGAGATGGAACGAGTTTGATCATGAGTCGGCAATAGATGTGATCAGGTCGGCATCAGTTCAATTGGGTCGATGATGAGGTTCGGAACGGATGATTCGAACGTTGTCTCTGATCAGCCCTAAATTCTCCGCTATTTCAAATATCGACATTGATTACATTAATTATATTAGGTTGGAGGGAAAGTCCTGCAACAAAAAATTTGAAGCGTCAGCAGTTTGTATCAACAGTGTGAACATGGTAGCAGGAGTGACAACCTTGTAGGGCATTCCCTAGGTAATCAACACATGAGTAAATAAGGGCACGCGTGTGGGCTTTAGCAGCATTACGGTCAATGAATGGACAAACCCGATTCGTACCATCTCCTTCTACTAAGCACGCCAAGGAAAAAACGC